GAACTGATTACTGTGAATGGGTAAAAAACGTCGCGTCACGACAATCTATTCCGTGTCACGGCGGCCTGTACCGTGCCACGGTGCAGGTTTGCCGTGACACGACAGTTGCGCCGCGACACGGTGCATAAGTTTAAGTCTAGTCAGCCCCTATTTTGGTCTTCCGTGCTAATTTGGTCCACCTGCCAGTCATTTTGGTTACTACTCACATGTCTAGCCATACGATCATACCACGAGTCTTATAACATCACTTAATCACTCACGAGTCAATTATACACCACACACTTTCTTTATGTTCCGACTTGAGTCGTGCACCATGTCGTTTATGATCGTATACTAGGTTCATGCACCTTTTTTTTCGTCATATTAATAAAATGTTGGAGTTTATTCTCACCTGCTTTTAAATGTCTATTTTTTCCCTTCCTTTCCTATCTTGAGCAATGGGTCAAACAATTAAGTGAATTGTTTTATTCACAGTACTTGGTCAAGGAGCAGGGGTAGATTAATGACTCAAACCGTATTAATCTACCCCTGCTCCTTGACTAAGTACTGTGAAATAAAACAATTCACTTAATAGCTTGACTCATTGCTCAAGGTAGGAAAGGAAGGGAAAAAATAGACATTTGAAATCAGGTGAGAAAACTCCACTCATTTTTTGATTATGACGAAAAAAAGGGTGCATGATCCTAGTATACAATCATAAACGACCTGGTGCACAACTCGAGCCATAACATAAAGAAAGTGTGTGGAGTATACTTGTGAGTGATTAAATGATGTTATAAGACTCGTGGTTTGATCATATGCCTAGACATGTGAACAGTAACCAAAATGACTGACACGTGGACCAAAATTAGCACGAAAGATCAAAATAGGGGCTGACTGGACTTAAACTTGGGCACCGAGTCGCGGCGCAACTGTTGTGTCACGGAAAACCTGCACCGTGGCGCGGTACAGGCCGATGTGACACGGTATTGATTGCCTTGACGCGGTGTTTTTTTGTCGTGTCACGGTAAACAGTACCAGTTTTTTTAAAAAAAAAAAATTATAAATTTTAGAGTTTGTGCTAATTACTAAGTGAATACGGTCCATTGGCAATTGTTAGTCATAAAATAATCCACCATAGACAAAGAAAGATAGTTAAGGTTAGAATCAAAACGACCAAATATACACACATAGGACACGTAGGCACAATGATGCCAAGAATAGTTCGCAACCTAAGGTCTAGTTCTATGTTACCCTTTGGTGAGGTTTTATTCGGTGTCAATAGGGTACCATGATTAAGAGTTTGGACGCGTTAGCAAGGCAGCCTCCCTTGAGGGTGTATGCCAACAGGCGGCTCTGTGTTTGTGATGAAATTGAACTCAACTCCATGGTTTGGGTGGATTTAAAAACTCGGATGAACCCTTATTCCCATAAGCTTTTTTGGATTGATAGAGGTTAAACCTGATACGAGTCGTTTACCGTATAAAATTAATTAATAAATTACCTAACTTAAACCTTCAAAAAATATTAACAACTAGTAGAAAGGGTAAGTAAGGGTCGAACCCACGAGGAGATTAATTAACTCTATAAACCCAAAATCAACTCGAAACATAAACTATATACTTAAAAGATTATTATTCACACTATGTACATGAGATTGGGGGGTTTAATCGAACGAGTAACTAAGACAAACAAGATAAAAATAATATAATAATCTATTGTTTAAAATAGACGACAAGCAAACTACCAATGTGATAACAAATCGATCACTGATTAATACGATATAACTTAAATTCCCAACTTCCTTCATATAGTCTCCTTCAATATTCAACTTAATATCTCGGTAGTCAAATTACCGCCGCAATTGATTTGACATATATAGCTCACTAAAAATCAGAATCTTACTAATACATTTTCTACCCTAATAAACTTGATTTATTAGATCAACCCACAAACTCAACAAAACTACGATTGAGCTGCTCAAACTAGTAATATCGAGTCATTCACTCTAAATTATCAAATAACGCCGCATCAAGTAATAATTTAGCATAGTCTAATTACTTCATAATAACAATTGAATACTATTACAAGTAAATTAAACGTTCATATAAAACAAGGAAGAATATGTGAATCAATTAAATACCAAATTGAATATTGAAACGATTATACTCAGCGTTTAAACGACAAAACATAAATCAGGAAATTAAAGATCAAATTACATCCAATTCACCAAGTAGAAACAAACAAATTAATCACAAAATTAAAAGATGAGGAGTAAATTAAGGAGAACTTATGAACTGAGCCAAGAAATCAAACAGCCGCTGCTCGAATCCACCAACAAATTCGTCCCTTCACCTTCCAATACCACCAAATCGATCAACCTTGGACCAATTCGTGCTCTACTCAGCCTCACAAACCTTCCGTGTTTTTGTGGTAATACTTCTGTAATTTCTAGGAGGGATAATTGGGAATTTTATAACCAAAAACAACCTAGGTTTTCTGGGTTTGAAGGGATAGAATTGTAGAGTAGGACTTGATCTTCTTCATGACTTCTCGTGAATTTCGGAGGAGAATAGCAACTCTTGTTTTGGGGATGAGAATTGATAATGTCAGATTGCTTAATTTCCCCTGTACCACGAACCTTTACTCATTTTCTTCTTATCCCCTTTTTTTTTTCTTTTTATTTTGTTTTCTTTGCATTCTGATGGCAAGTGATGTCTAACACAAGTGGGCTTCCTATTTTGCAATTGTTCCTTCCAAGTCCACCTTATTTCCTTTTGTCTTCCTACCAAAATCACACAGCATAATATTAAGTATCACTTATTCTAAAATTAGCTATAAAATAAAATACTAAAATAAAATAAGAACTGTAAATATTAAATTGACTAACTTCATGAAATAAATAAAAGAAAACGATTATAAGACTAATATTAGGGACTAAAAATATGGTATATTATGCACTTATCAAATTCCCCCACACTTAGTCTTTGATCGCCCTCGAACAAACTAAATGAAACTAACCTATAAAAGAAATAAACCTAACTCACTATCGTAGGAATCATGGTTACACTTAGCATGTGCAACAACCCCTTTAAACGTGAGGACATACTCACAAAATCTCTTTATTTGGAATCTTTGAACCAATCAGCAAATACAACCAAAATAAGCATTTCCCAGCAAGCATGGACCATATATTTGACATTTATAAAGATTTTAACACTCTCAATGTCCGACGTCGTATCATTTCCGTTTCTCACCTTTATTTTTATGTATTTGATTAGATGTCTCTGATCAACATAACTTTTACGGAGTGTAAAAGGAACAAAATAAACTAGAGGTGGGAGATATGTTTAGGCTTGCAGTGGTATAGGTGGAAATTAGTAGAGCACATTAGTAGTACATTTATATCACACATCTCCAACATTGAACTTAGACTTACTTTTTTTTATTTTATTTTTTTTTTATCTCAGGACTCTTAATGCATTGTCTCTGTCAAATAGTTCTTGTAGCGAGTGTTCGACCAGTGACTCCCGGTCCAATTGGCCCAAGGCACTAGGTTTTAAGATACCCCTACGGATCTACTTACTCGAACTACTTAAGCACGAGATAAAAACATCACACGTACATAACTGGGTTTTGAACTTTTTTTTCATGTATATATATAAAAATTACTTTTTAAACACAGACATTGGTACGCAGAGCCTTCAAATCTGAAATTTTTCATTATAAAACCACCAAATAATGACAACCACCATTCCACTTTACATCACAATTTAACAATATGCTCTACTAATCCCAAAAGGTGGTTTAATTGTTTTCTAGACAGAGGCACATTTGTGAGTTTTATTTGATAAGAAAACAAACTTAAGCTCAAATTGGCTCAATAATGGATGATGTTAATGGAAGGATTTGAGACATGATAAAATTTTTGGTGAGAAACAAAAACTTTTACTAATCATACCAAAGAGGGGTTTAAGCTATCTTTCATGTCTGTAATCCACAGCATGCAATAAGTAAAAGACATTTTTTTAATTATTATTATTATTTGATGATTAACCCAATGTTCCTTCATTTATTCATGAAACTAGTAATCGAAAATAACAAACTTTTTAATCTAAAATTCGGCAGCACCTCCTTTAAAGTAGGAGCAATCAAATAAAAAATGAGCTATTTTAATCAACGCATTTACAACCAAATATCCATTGGAATAGCATTCTCTCCACAAAAACCAAACCAATTTCAAATATTCAATCCCCCCCCCCCCCCCCCCCCGCACTTAAACTTTTCATTGGCCTCAATGAAAACAAAGTTAAGAAAGGAAAAGAGAAACTTAGCTGGTCATGTGAGCTGTTTATGGATCAGCTCCAAGTTTGTGCTAAGTTCTGGAAGACTCACAAAATTTAAACTTTGAAGCACGGTAAAGCATCAAGAAGAAAGTGAAATGTCCTGTCTAGCCCTTTGTATTATGCTTGTTTAATGTGCCAGAGCAACCTGGGGTAAGGTTGGTGCTAATAACAGAACAAAAAGAATACACAAAACGACATGAACTATCATAAAAAATAACAAAAGAAAGGAATAAAGTGTAGAAAATTAATCTTGGGTTTCCTCCCAAGCAGCGCCTCTGTTTAGAGTCGTTGGCTCGACATAATTCCTTCCTCAGTCCGATCGAAGGTCAATATCTTCAATCATCCCTGCAAAGTCATACTCATAAAATGGTTTCAACCTGTGACCATTTACTTTAAACTCCTTACTAGTTGAAAAATATTAGTAATAACAAAAGGTCCTAGCCATCTAGACCTAAGTTTTCCAGGGAACAACTTCAGACGAGCATTATATAAAAGAACTTTCTGTCCTATAGTGAAATTAGATTTAATAATTCTCTAATCATGAAAAGGCTTAGTTTTATCTTTATAAATCTAATTAATTTCATAAGCCTCTAATCTGATTTCCTCTAGCTCTCGTAAACTAAGTTCCCTTTGTTGTCCAACCAACTCATAATCCATATTACACTGTTTCACAACCTAATAAGACTCATGTTCGAGTTCTACAGGTAAATGACATCCTTTACCAAACACAAGGCGATATGGTGACATTCCTGTAGTTGTTTTATAAGTTGTCCAGTAAGCCCATAATGCATCTTTTAGCCTAAGGCTCCAATCCTTCCTATTAGGATTCACCACTTTCTCTAGGATAGATTTGATTTCCCTGTTTGAAACTTCAGCTAGCCCATTAGTTTGGGGATGGTAAGCAGTTGCTACTCTATATGTCACATGATACTTTGCAAGAAGGGTGCCAAAAGTTTCGTTACAGAAATGGGTTCCCCTATCACTGATTATGACTTTTGGCATACCAAACCTATTAAAAATATGACTTTTGACAAACTTTACAACAGTTTTGGCATCATCAGTATTGGTAGCTATGGCTTCCACCCATTTAGAAACATAATCTACAGCAAGCACAATATAAAGATTAATAAAAGAAGAAGGAAAGGAACCCATATAATCAATTCCCCACACATCAAAGATTTCACAAACTATGATTCCATGTTGAGGCATTTTCGTTTCTTTCAGAAATATTACCTGTTTTCTAACATTGCTCTCAAGATTTACAAAACACGTAAGCATCTTTAAATAATGAGGGCCAATACAAACCACATTGTAGTACCTTAAACGCGGTTCGTTGAGGTCCAAAATGGCCACCAACTTCAAGAGAATGAAAGAATTTAAAATTGAAGAAAATTCAGATTCATCTACACACCTTCTTATCATCTGATCAAAACAAAATTTTCATAGATATGGATCATCCCAAAGATAATATGTAGAATCAGATTTAATCATATTCTTTTGAGCTTTAGTTAGTGTAGGGGAAATGTTCCAGTCACTAGATAATTAACAATATCAGCGTACCAAGGAGTTTCAACACTATATAAAGAAGCAAGCTGCTCATCAGAAAAAAAAATTCAGTTATTAAAGGCCAATCCTCTTTAGGTACAATTCTACTTAGATGGTCAGCAACTGGGTTTTCAACACCCTTTCTATCTCTAATTTCCACATTAAATTCCTGTAATAGAAGCATCCACCTTAGCAACTTAGGTGTTGAGTGACTCTTCTCTAACAAATATTTAAGAGCTGCATGATCAGAATAAACAATCACACGAGTGCCAAGTAAGTAGGGCCTAAACTTCTCTAATGCAAAAACAACAACATACATCTCTTTTTCAGTTACAGTGTAATTGCATTGGGCATAATCTAGTGATTTAGAAGCATAATGGAAGACATAAGACTCTTTATCCTTCCTTTGATCTAAAACTGCTCCTACAACCTTATTACTAGCATCACACATAATTTCAAAAGACAAAGACCAATCCGGGGGTCTAATCACAAGCGCACTTGTCAATTTGTCTTTTAAATCATCAAAATCCTTTTTGTAATCATCTTTAAAGTAAAAAACAACATCTTTAGCAAGCAAGACACATAGGGGAGAAGCTATCTTGGAGAAATTTTTGATAAAGCGTCTATAAAAGCTAGCATGTCCTAAAAATGATCTAACTTCACAAACACATGTAGGATAAGGCAAAGAACTAATGACATCAATTTTAGCTTTATCAACCTCTAAACCTTTGGCACTAACAATATGACCAAGAACTACACCTTGGTTAACCATAAAATGATACTTTTCAAAATTCAAAACAAGGTTAGTTTCAACACGTCTTTTCAAAACTTAAGATAAAGCATGAACCACATCTATCAAATGAATCACCAAACACTGTAAAATCATCCATAAACACTTCCATATCTTATTGAATCAAATCAGAAAATATACTCATCATGCATCTTTGGAATGTTCCAAGAGCATTGCATAAACCAAAAGGCATTCTTCTAAAAGAAAATGTACCAGAAGGACAAGTAAAAGTGGTTTTATCTTGATCTTCAGGGGCAATGGGTACTTGTGTGTAACCAGAATAACCATCAAGAAAACAGAAAAAAGATTGTCTAGCAAGATTTTTAACATCTGATCAATAAATGGAAGGGGAAAATGATCCTTTCTAGTAGCTTGATTAAGCTTCTATAGTCAATATAAACTCTCTATCCATTAGAAACTCTAGTAGGGACAAGTTCTCCTTCATTATTTTCTACAACAGTTATTCCACTCTTTTTAGGTACCACATGAATTGGACTTACCCATTGGGAATCAGAAATAGGGTAAATCACTCCTGCATCTAACCACTTTAGAATTTCCTTTTTAACTACTTCCATCATTGAAGGATTTAATCTACGTTGAGCCTCTCTAGTTGATTTAGCATCTTTTTCAAGGAAAATTTTATGCATGCACATAGCGGGGCTAATGCCTTTTATGTCAGCTAAAGTCCATCCTAAGGCTTCCCTATGATTTTTAAGCAAATTCAATAACCTAGTCTCTTGAGATTCATTTAAAGAACTTGAAATAATCACAGGTAGAGTCTCATTATCACCCAAATAAGCATACTTCAGATTAGAGGGAAGGGTTTTCAATTCTAATTCAGTTGGCTTAACAATAGAAGGAATCAATTTAAGCACAACAGAGGGCAAAGATTTTTCACATCCATTAGAAACATTAGATTCAATCACATCAGACGATGCTACAAAAGAATCAACTAATTCTGTTTTTTCAACATCACCAAAAACACCATTTCAAACAAATTTTCACACCAGTCATCAAAGACATCCTGAGCCATCCAATCACATGCATCAAAAGAATCGATAGAACTAACATTATTGAGATCATTAGGGTATTTCATAGCATCAAATATGTTGAATTTAATCATTTCACCGTCAAATTCCATTGTTAGATTACCTTCATGAACATCAATTTTAGTCTTGGAAGTCTTTAGAAAAGGTCGACCCAACAATAAAGGAACACTATCAGAGCTATCTCCCATATCAAGCACATAAAAATCAGCAGGAAAAACTAATTCATTCACTTGAACAAGTACATCTTCTACTCCCAAAGGAAATGCATTAGATCTATCAGCTAGTTGGATCACCACATTAGTCTTAGACAAAGAACCAACATTCAAGGTATCATATACAGATTTAGGCATGACATTGATTGAAGCACCTAAGTCTAGCATGCATCTTTCAAAAATAGAGTTACCAATTTTACATGGAATAGAAAACATGCCAGGATCCTTACATTTAGGGGGAAGTTTCTTTTGAATTGCTGCTGAAATGTTTTCCCCCATACTTACCTATTCAGAAGGGCAAAATTGTCTTTTATTAGTACAAAGTTCCTTAAGAAACTTTGCATAGCATGGTACCTGCTTAATAGCATCAAGAAGAGGAATATTAACTTCAACTTTCCTAAAAGTCTTTAGAATTTCATTGTCCATGGCTTCTTTCCTAGACTTAGCAAATCGAGAGGGGAAAGGGGGAACATCTTTAAAACAAGAAACATTAAAATTCACACCAGAATTACCCTTCCCAACAGGTTCTTTCTCGCTCTTTTTATCATGTTTTACCTTACTCTCTCCAACTATATCCTTAGGTCAAATTTCTACTTCTTTCTCTACTACTCTATTCTTCATTTTAGGTTCTGCTAACTCATTACCACTCCTAAGTGTTAAAGATTTAGCATGTTCATTTGGATTGGCAAGTGTTTGTGAAGGATGTCTATTCGAGAGTTGAGATTCCAAATTACTCAAAGTAGTGCTTATTTGAACTATTTGAGTGTCTATGTGATGTAGGTGAACGTCAATTTTCTTTTGATATTTAACACCTTGATCATGAACCTGCCCTATTTGGTTTGCTAACTGTTTCACCAAATCTTCTAATGAAGGGCTAGCAGGTTTAGGTGGTGGGTTTTGTTGACCGTGTTGTTTAAATTGATTAAACTGTTGAAATTGTGGTCTATTTCCATACCTTAGATTAGGGTGGTCTTTCCAACCTTCATTATAAGTTTGTGAGAAAGGATCATACTTCCTATTTTATTGACCAGAAAAACCCCCTAAGGCATTGACATCTTCACTCTGTAAAGTAGGACATTCATCAGTAGCATGAGAAAAATCAGAACAAACACCACAAACTCTAGATTTAGACTCATTACTAGCAATTTTAGAAATAAGAGTAGTCAAAGTAGCAATTTGTTGAGAATTTTCATGCAATTGATTATGAATACCTCTTATATCAATTTCATTTACTCTTTTAACATCATTTCTAGTACTAAACTGTTGTGTATTCTGAGCCATATTAGAGATTAATTTTCTAGCTTCAGTAGGTGTTTTATCAACTAATGCACCCCCACTAGATGCATCTATCATTAGGTAACAAACCCTCATAAAAGTATTGAATTAACAATTGATCACTTATTTGGTGTTGTGGACAAGATGAACAAAGCCTATTAAAACGTTGCCAATATTCATATAAAGACTCAATATTATTATGTCTAATTCCACAAATTTCCTTCCTAATAGAACCTATACGACTCACAGGAAAGAATCTTTCAAGAAAAACTTTTTTCAATTCTGCCCAAGAATTAATGGAACTAGATGGAAGTAGCTCATATAACCACTCTTTAGCAGGATCTTGCAAAGAAAAAGGAAAAGCATGCAATCTAATATGTTCCTATTCTATTCCTTCGGGATCCATAGAAGAACATACAACTTTAAACTCTTTTAAATGTCTATAAGGATTCTCACATGCATTCCCATAGAATTTAGGGAGAATGTTAAGTAAACCTGAGTTCTGTTAGAGGGATTCTCTAGTTCCGGAAAGACAATGCAGAGAGGATCTTCTCCTATTTTAGGGGCTCCTAGTTCTTTCAATGTCTGTTCTGCCATGTTGTAATATTTGATTGGAAATGGATCTTCTATTTTAAGTGCTGGTTCAGCACTGAAAATATGAAGAAGCTCCTCTGGTTTTGCACCGTTTATCAAGTCTATGTATGCTCTTATGTGCTGAAGTCTTACTTCTTTATCGTACGTTTACATGCACCTATCAAGAAAACATAAATTAATGAGAGATGAGCTTGTGTGAAAATAAATTTCTTGTCAGAACCAAAATATAGGCAAAATAAAGAATTGATATCAGTTATTCAAGACATGTTTGATTACAAGTAGTTCTAACTGTAAGTATGCTGAAATTTAGAAGCATTAGAAAGGCTAAGAAATTATATGAACCCGACCAAGCAATCTCATGAAATTATCGGTTGTCATGTGCAAATTCTCACAACTAATTTTGCTCAAATTTTACTCAATTAGATATGTATCAGTTTAGCATTTCAACAAATTTTTAGCAAAATGATCTCCCTGAATTTAGGATTAGGCATACAATCACACATGCACCTGTCAAAATTCAACACGTAAAGCTAGCTATTACCAATCTTATTCTGTCAGATTACTTCTGCCAGGTCTTATTTGAACACTTTTATAACATGCATAATTTAGTTTTATTAATAGTTCTTTTATCAGATTTCTCATCCAAGGCTGTCAATACTTGCAAAAACATAAAGGTGAGAAAGTAAAAAGTACAAGAATCCTTATGAGCAGTCTAATCGGAATATAAACAAAACATGCATCACAGCCATATAATTTGAAATACATCAGATGCATTTGATGCACAATATTGCTAACAAAAAAAGTCTACCTTAAAATAGAATGTGTAAGAAATAAGGTCTCTATTCTATAATGTAGATAATATTACCTACATAAAATATTTTCCACTACTCTGACTGCATTAGTTCTAGACAGCAGAAAAAAAATCAGGTAAGTAACGCATAGGTACAACAATATATGATGTGCAACTCAGGATATTACTATCATAAAATAAGGGAATTCTTGCAATTTCACTTGAATTTTAATTCACATACAGTTTTTATTTTATGAGGGCATATAATTTTTCAAGGTGCACAATAATAATCTGACCAAACACGATGCAGCAAGAATAATTATCTAGCATAACCAATAACTTTGTATAAAGTAACTCTTCTACCTAAGTGGGAAACTAGATGGCAATATAAGTCCTTGTATATTGCACAAATCATGCAAAAAGATGTTAGCAAACATGACATGAACTTGTCAATATGACCACTATTATGTGAGTTAGTTTAGATTACGCTTGCAAAAAATCGGTCAATAAACAAGCGTTATTTGGTATAACTCATTTACAGATGACACTAATTACCACAAGTTAAGCAAGAATTGAAAGTAAAATCATTCTATTGATACGTGTACCAACCATTGTATATTGCTGCAATCAAATAGCTTGATAATTCATATTCTCTCATGATAAACATATTAATTAGTACACCAGCCCTAGCATACCTCAATCAATTAGAACCATATTGACCAGACACCTTTAGCTATTTTCAAATTAATAAAGTTATTAAAATCAAGCAATAGTTAAGTTAGTGGCATCCATGTGATTTGTAATTTACATCAGTTTACCATGTACATACTCCTTGATAAGGACTCTCACTCTTACCTTAAACACTAATTAGAACTACCAAGCTCATTATAATATTTCATAATCCAATGGAAAAAGTGAACTGAGATATATCCTAAACTATAAAAGCAAAAATCAGAAATGTCAAAAAGTTACAGGTGGCCACTACTTCCTATGCACAAATACATAAATACAGACATTAGTTAAACCATTAATTTATAGAATATTAAAAGCAATCTCCCGGCA